GCCGCGAGTCTTTCACGAATCTTCAACATGAACCAAGTATAAAGGCTATACCGATCTTCATGAGTTTGGCCATTAATACATGTACAGTGCATGTAATTAGATGCAGCGAGCGCACGGTATTTGAGAGGTTATAAGCTTGAGTCTTGCAAGGGACTCATGGTTTGTTCTTTTTGGCCATGCTCATGACTTAACGATTATTAAAACCTTCTTCTTTAAAACGTTCATCAAATGTGTCTTACCTTTAATGCTGAGTGAAGAAGGATGCGTGTTTCAAAAATGTCACCATATGAAATATTCTAAAGGAAGTTGTTACCTGGTTTTGGATGTAGGATTTTTGGCTCGCGTGCCTCCCACGCCCCTATTAAATTTAATTGTTTGGATTATAAGATCATCTTTTCCTTCAGGATGCATAAATCACACACACGCACAAGAGAGCTTGACTGCAAGATTCGCATTAACCGCGGCGGATGTCAAAAAATCGAATTTCTTCAAATTACCTTAAGGTCTCGGTAAAGGAAAACGAGGTGCCCACAGAAAAATATTCTAGTCGCGCGAGTATCTTCGCTACAAAGGCAAGTTATATATTAAATTAAAGCTAAAAGACTAAATTACCTTATGAAAGATTTTATTTCATCGAATTTCAAAAGGCGCTTAAGTTTTTTGCTCTCGAACTCAGAGGTATCAAGTTTACTGCTGAAGTTCCAGCCCTTTCGCGTTGTTAAATATTCACTTCCTTTTTATTGCATCTGATTGACAGATAAAAGACCTAAAAAAGGGTGTGAGGAATTTTCCGATTTCCCTTTGTAACTCATTTTATGTCAGTTTCTTTGCGTAAATCGGGCTCAAGATTCGACTTTTTAGTTTGAAATGCAATAATTCCGCAAAAACGAGACATGCAAATTTCCTCACACCCTTTTTTAGGTCTTTTATCTATCAATCAGATGCAATAAAAAGGAAGTGAATATTTAACAACGCGAACGGGCTGGAGCTTCAGCAGTAAGCTCGATACCTCTGAGTTCGAGAGCAAAAAACTTAAGCGCCTTTTGAAATTCGATGAAATAAAATCTTTTATAAGGTAATTTAGTCTTTTAGCTTTAATTTGATATATAACTTGCCTTTGTAGCGAAAATACTCGCGCGACTAGGATTTTTTTCTCTGGGCACCTCGTTTTCCTTTACCGAGACCTTAAACTTATTTTATTTTAAAAGGGTCCCAGGCGCTGTAGATTGAAGTCATTTATTCTTAGTATTTTTGCAAAATGGCCTCAGAAAAGTAATTAAAAGATAGCGAGCTAATACTGGCGAAAATTATGATAAATTGCGTCCAATTTATGAGCAGATTTGTTGTATCAATGACAGACCAATATTACTTCCCGATGCAATTAACTTTATTCACTATAAGTAACATGCTTTAACTTTAGAAATATAGCTACAAAACCAAGGAACAAGTTGTCAATGTCCATATACATTAGTTCAAATAGTTCCTAGTAAGTTTACCCTGGTCCCAGAGGTTTTTCTTGATTTTTCTTCGCGAAAGAGATCAACAGCAAGTCGCGAAGCGGCGACAACGAGTCGCAAAAGCGACGAGGAGAGAGAGAAAAACCTCTGGTTACCTTGGCCTCGAATCTCACTTTCATGCAGACGACAGGGTCAGGATCTGACCCTCGGGCGTTGATTGGTTGATACTTTTTCAAACACGCAAACCAATTTGATTGGCTCGTTTAATTGTAACTACCGAGGGGACGCTGAGGAGTTTCACACCTCATTTTGCCTCTCTCTACTAGGGAAGAAAATTGTTTGTATGCTGCACTCGCAATAACATTTGCACGGGACCAAGGCACGTAAAGGCACGCCATATTTCGAGATTTTGACATGGATGTTGTTCCTGAAAGAATATTCGAAGAAATTTTGACCTCGGTACTTAATGAGCGCTTTCCTGAGTCTCACTGAACAACAAAAGCAAGCTTTGTTCGCTGCGTTGAGTCGAAAGGATGTGTTCACAATTTTATCAACCGGACATGGAAAGTATATTTTCTGTTACAATACTGTCATTCCATTAAATAAACTAACTTGTTTAGGGCAGCAAAATAAAAAATCTCCGAATACGGAATGAAAGTTTCCTTGTAGGAAAAAAAACATACAACTTTGTACAAGTACGTAATCATTTTCGGTGCAGCTTGATTTTCCTGCGACGCCCAAAAAAGATCTAACCAACGTTATTTTTGGCATAGACCTATTCGGCTAACTCAATGTTGTACCCAATTCAAATCTCCCGGGGATAAGATTCTTTGTGTATTGCATTTGCATTATAATGTGGCATTCACATTTAAATGATATGGAAATTCCTGAAACAAAACGTGTTTTATTCGCAAAGGGTTTGAATTGGGTACAACATTGAGTTAGCCGAATAGGTCTATTGGGTCAACAAAAACCTCTGAAAGTACATTCCGAACATTAAGGGTTTGTTGTGCTGCATGACTCTTCCTAGCGTTCTTGTTCCACAAAAAAAGGAAATGGAGCCGTCAAACCAAAATGCGAGCCAGATTGCCAGAATACATATTAATATTACTATTTTGAAGGGAATGCCCGCGAATCGACGCGAACGGCGCGCGCCGCTGAAGTAAACTATGCAATAAGCGCGATTGATAGACTCTTGCAAACTTTACAACTTCCCGCTGGCACACTGCCGACAGAACAGATGACAATGTTTGTGAAAAATCCTTGTTATTATACCCAAAAAAGTTGATTTTAGATCGGCCACTTACTTTTACATAAATTCTGCAAATCCTGCAGCAGTCGTTTGGAACAATGTCGGTTTCTTTATAAAGTGGTCTTCTTATTCCTGGACTCTTGTCGCCCATCGTTAACACATGCTTTAGCTTGACCCCGATTAACAAATCACTCTTTACCACCCAAGTGGAGATGGTTTGTTCATAACATAATTTCCCCAGGTCTACCCCCACTTAAAAAAATAGCGGCTGATAAGCGCGTGTTTGCTAAGTTGCCATTGGTCACTCCTTTTATTAGCAATTTGACGCGTTTGACAGCTGTCGTCTGCATGAAAATGAGATTCGAGGCCAAGGTAACCAGAGGTTTTTCTCTCTCTCCTCGTCGCTTTCGCGGCTTCCTCTTGATCTCTTTCGCGAAGAAAAATCAAGAAAAACCTCTGGGACCAGGGTATAGTAAGTTTCACTTTGCTGAAAACGGAAAAAGTCACTCAACTGTTTAAGTGTTCAGGCAGGGTCCAACCCACTTCTAGGGATAAAACAACACTGCCTTGACCCTAGTACTTTGCCATTGATGGCCCATGTGTTAAGAGTTTGGGTTTCTGTTTTTCAAGGATTGTTAACGTGATAAGAAAATGACACTCACAGACCCCCTGTGAAGAAACGAAAAATATACATTTTTACTTAAATTGTGGTTTCTACTGTTTTTGGTGAGATGGATGTTTCTATAACAAGCAGCGTAGAAGAACTGAAGTTGTAAAAGGGAAATTCTTAAAAAAATGAAAATAACTTGAGATTATCTGACTTATAATTTTTCTTAAGTGCCTTGATTCATTTTATGAAACAGGGATTCCTTGTCTGGCTTTATGTACTTTTCAGTACAACTTTAATGTTAGCTATTGACAGTACTGTTAATAGCTGTTATTTATTAACAACACACAACATAAACTCGCGTGACCGATTTTTCTAAACCGCGTAAACACAAAAGGCTATTCAACTTTTTGAGATAATAAATTCGTTATTTATTTTAATTTAAAAATGTCTTGGCTTCTTTCCCCCCAGAAACAACAACTTGTTTGGCTTCATGTAAAGATTCCATCACCCCAGATTGTCCCAATTAAGACTTACGTGTTATGTTGAACATGAAGTCACTGGCTGATTTTCTAAGTCGTGCAACCACAATCTTGATCCAAATGCTAGTTACATACACCAAACTAAGTTTCTGCAGTGTCCAAGGCAAGTAATTTAATCACGTACGATCTTTTTTTTCGCTTTTCATGAAACGTTTCTGAGCTTCAGTTGCATAAACCAGCGTTTCTATGTAATGAACTTCTACCTTAGTAAATTCAACTGAAACAGTTACATATTACAGCTGCAACTTCCAATGAGCTCTTTGATTTGATTAAGAAAACCCTCCTTTCTGATTCTGGAAACAGTGGCGATGTCTAATTCAAAATGCTCACAAATCCTTACAAGCATTTCTATGTTGAACTTTTTCAACTTGTTTTGTTGACACACAGGTTGAAGCGTTCATAACAAATAGGGTGCTTCTCTGCGACCTTAGCGATGATACCTTCACGCAGCTCTTGCAACTCCGTCTCATACTGCTCTGCTTGAGTATCACTCTCTAGACCTCGTACTTCGTCCTCAATTAGATCTGCTGGGATTTGCACCTTCTTTCTCTGTGCGGCGGCAAGCCTAGAGAAAAATGAACGGATCTGCTGTGTTTGAAGGCATTCACTTGCGGCAAATAAACGCTTACCAAGCTCATCTCTTGCACATCTCATGTCGATGGAAACTTGCACAGGATCAGCTTTATGTCCTGTAGCATAACCGACGTCGAATTTCTCTTGGAGGTAATTTCTGACCTTGTCAGGAAAACGTGTTACCCGCTTAGGTACCTTCAAAGCCCAGCCTTTCTGAAGAACCTGATGTGTGGTCACGCTGAGGACTTCTGTGAGACGGAGTGAAGAAAGTTTGTTTTCCAATTGGGATGAAAGATTCTCTGACGT